AAAAAAAAAAAATCACCTCAAGGCTAATATTTGCATCATTAACAATCTGTGGGTTTGCAGAATAAATTAAAAAACACTTTCAATTTGGCAAAAACATAAAACCAATTTCCTAAATCAGGAGGCCAGTTCATAATCTGAGGTGGGATATACTGAAATTCTCTCTACCTAGAAGTCATCCTGAGCCTCTCACATCTGGGGCTTTGTTTTCCATCAGTGCCCAAAATACCGTATTGAAAAAGCTGAAGCACCAAGTGCAGGGGTAGCCAACACTACTGCAGCTGAACTAGGCAGCAGGTAGTTATCTCTTCCATCCTGGGAGAGGTGACTACACACAAGTGTAGTATTACACACTGCTCAAATTCCCAACGCATTCTGGTGCCTTAGGCAAACCAGCCTGAACAGCCTCTGCCCGCTCGGCAGCATCACCCCCAGGCAAGGGGGAGTGAAGTGGTAAGGACAGGGCAGCGAGGCATCAGTTCTCATTGTCTGTCCTCCCCCCACCAGGCAATGAACGTTCAGGAAAATGCCACTTGCTGTATGAAGGGAAACGCACCACTCACTGTCAAACATTTAGTGAGCACCTGGAACCAAAACTGATTTTGTTGAGAAGCTGGAAAATCTCTGGCTAAACTGGAGATTCATGAATCCTCTCCAAACAAACCCAGCAGGAAATAACTTCCCATACGGAAACAGGAGCTTAACAACAGGAAAACAGGGAAGCTGGACTGGTACGGACTATGATGGAAACAGTAATGGTAAAAAGCCACTCAAGGCAGAGCATCTACCCAGCCAGATGCAAAGACCAACTCATAGTGGAGGGTACAGGAACGCATGGGTAGGATTTAACAGAGCATCACCCTACGATTCTGGAGCTGGTGCAACCGATGCTCAGTGGTCTCACTTGGAGGATCGCCCTGAAACTGTAAATATCCCCATCCCTTCACCAGCATTTGCTGCAAATCATTCTTTCAAATTATTCTCCTCTAATCAAGGAACTATTTCAACCACCACAAGGAAACTTTCCCAAAGTCTTTGCAGACTGGATTTGTTGCCCTTCACTTCATCGCTCGTGCCATTTTCTTGCCCTCCCCTATTAATCAGGTGGGCGCTCTGTCTCCCAGAACAAGGCAGACACGTCCCACTACAGTGCAAGTCTGTCCCCTTTTTAAACAGACAAAAGGAAAGTGGTGGTGTACTTATCAACAGACAGCAACTACAATAATGTGGAATAAGGCACATTTAAAGAGAAAAAAATAACGGGGGGGGGGGGCACAACACAAAAGGCAACTACATTTTTTACTTGCCTGAAAATATATTTAACTGGACAGATTATGCATTGTTCTTGTTTTCAGCTTCTATGTACATTCTGAGTATGCAGAATAACATTAACACACTCATTACCTCAAAGAACAGTTTGCTGCCAAACTACACTGCATATCCAGACTCTATTCCCACGCTTTTGTCTGAGGATTTGGACAGTGCTAACCAAATGTCATCTATATTTTGCCAGTGCTGCACCACTGGTCACACAGTATTTCAATCTGTTTCCAGGCTTTAATCATGTCCAAAACTAAAATGCTCCCAGTAGCCTGTTAGTCAAGAATCCTTCCCAAAAACAAAAGAACATTATTTCCTATTTCTATTCCTACTTATGAGTTACTTTACCTGCTAGAGTGTGCTGTACTTCTGCCTCTATTTTTCAAGTACTATTTCACATTTGTAAAAAGAGAGAGACTACTTCAACAAAAATGTGAGGCTTTTGAAGATGTTTTCATAGTACGGGGGAGATAATACAGAGGATAACCTGCCAGGAATTTAGTCTTTTTTTCTTGCAAACCAACACAATAACCACCCATATCATTCCAGGACAGATTAAGACAGACACTTCTGTAACACAGTTAATAAATAAAGAAGTTGCATTAACCTAGTATCATTTGAGTGTTGTTGGGATCTGTTTCCGTCTGCAAAGCTCCTATAAGTATATTCACAAGTCTCAGCTTCAAGGAAAGGAAGGTTACTGGCTTATCACATGTTGAGCCATCATCATTGCTGAATTTCCCTTCCAGGACAACCTGAAGGAAAAATACATCGATTTCAGTATCAATTACAGATCACACCAGTGGGGTACTGGTCTCAAAAGTCAATATCCACAGCACACATTGCTCCTGACAACTTGTAAGATTGTTACAGCCTTGCCAGAAGAGTTTCAGTGCTAAACAGAACACCAAATACAACCCACAAGTCATCCAAATGCCACTAGAAATCAACCAAGGAAATGCAAAACAAAGTGATAAGTTTACTACCTCAGACTTTATGGTTCCAAAATGATGAGGGAGAGGAAGCAGAGACAGCAAGATGTTAATTGAAGCTCTTCTTAGCTCTGTGGGGTTTACATAGATTTTAAACTTTGAGAGTTCTCTGCAAATCAAAACATCACACAGTTAATCAACTTTTCATAGGAATTTGAGTCAAATTTTATTAAGTTAAAATTAAATCTACAGCCACTCAGTAGTCTTAAATAATTTGCAGTATACAATGTAGCTGTTTCTTTCTAGGATCAAGATTTTTTTTTCATTTTTTAAACAGCAGCAATAACACAACGAATTCATGCAGGACCCACCACTTGCTGAGGATTCTGTACCTCACATACAAGCAATGAGCTGATGAAGGTATTATTTGTATACTGCATCTTCAAAGCAGGAAGCTTTGGTCATAAGCCTCTGCTGGCTTATTACAACTCAAACCCCCTCCCGGATTATCAGAGATCTGCAGAATACGCTCACGCGCATACTGCGTAAAACAAGCTGCTTAGCAAATAGATCAACTTCTTTTGCTGGCCACCAGCAAATTCTTCTACTTATAAGACCTACCCAAAAGAAGCAGTGGCTCAGATTTAAGCCCAGAAGATAAATAATATTTTATGCATAACTTCAAAATGAAATGCAGCACCAAGACACAAAACATCTGTTGAAGAAGGCATGGACATAGTACTAAATGCCTTAGCAAAACGTCCAGAAATCTATAAAGCTCTGACAAGTAACGTTATATCTTCTACTCCAATTTCACCAGCTTAAATTATCAATTTTTCTATTTGGTGATGTGTAAGATTACTCTCTTAATGAATTCACTACAGAAACAATCAGTAACAAATATCCTGTGAAATTTTTCTTCGATTTCATTTTAAATAAGCAGTTATTGCTTTAAACAAAACTGCATTAACCACTATTGAAAATCAGAGCTTATGAAGTGCTGCTGTTATCACCATCAAATGCAGACACACTATGGAGCCCACATCGCAGAACTCCCTCTGTGAAAACTACTCAGGAATAACCGAAACCCCAGAAGATAAACATCTCCCCACATTTCTTACAATGTTTATATGGAAATAGCAGTTTACCTGTCAGGTAAAATAGTTTCAAGAGCCGAAATGAAATAAGGAACCACGACATCAATCCCCTTCAGGTCACAGCAGAACAAAGGAGGGGAGTTTAGAATAACACTGGCAAGAACAGGGTGGCAAATGAAATCTGCTATCTGCAAACCCTGAATTAAAAGCATGTAAAATCTGACAAAGAAAGATAAGATTAAATTATTTGCACATAAAAAGCACCAGCATCCCCCATGAACAAGATTGTGCAGCCACTATTTCATCTTTTCTATATAAAACATAGTAAGTTTCAAAAATCAGAGCTAGGAAATGTTTAGATGAGCACCCCCCCAAGTTACTTTAGCACCAGCAAACGGACCTGAAGAGCTTAACAACCCCCCCCTCAGAAATCCCTTGTATTTCACATGAAAAACCAATGCAGCCCAGTTTTATTGAAAGCTCTGACCTGTTGCAACGCAGACTGGGAGCCGTGCAAAGACAGCCCAGATGGTTACTAAGGGTGCCTGGATCACCTGCTCTCCCACTCCTCCCTTCCCCATGTAAGGATGGGAGCATACCTTGATTTTAACCCCCCAACACAACAAAAGCACAGCAAAATCTTTCAGGGGGTGAACAGGACAGGACACACTGATCAGCAATTTGGAAAATGAGACCCAACATAACCAGTTCACATGAGGAAGCAGGGGGGCAGGAACCCTGATGGCCATCACCCTAAGGCAGTTAGTTTCTCAAAGTTTTTTGTTAGAGAATACTTATATCCCCTCTTTCATTTTTTTAAAAGGCTTGCAAACACAGAGGAATCTCACTGACTGGGTAAGAGAAACACAAACTACCTATCCACAAAACACTACAAAATTCAAGAAATAAACTAGTTGAGTCTTCCAGGAAGTTTTGATGCCATCTGGGACAAATGCACCTGAACAGTTTGAGAGTCTCATGATTTAAAGTTGATTCTCTGCCTCTAGCCTTTGCCATTTCACTTTTAACAAAAATTTGGGGAAAAGGTACACTATGATAGGCCAGATAGCCTTATTTTATTACAAACGAAACTGAAACCAGAGGTAGTTCAGAACACAACTGTTTTAAATAATGGAATATTAGTGCATTTCTACATTTAAATAAAAAAAAACCCAACAAACCACAAACACATTCTGTTCCAGTGTTGTGGTGTTTGACAACATTAAGACCCTTCATGGGCTAATAAAGTGCACAAAGTCTCATGCCTGCATACTTATTTTTATACATGTGAACAATCTTCCAGGACAAATTACAAACAACAAGAATCTAGGAGGCAAGAAAAGCATCAAAAAGACAACACACCTTCCACCTAGCAAGCATTTTAAGGGACTTCCCTTCAACCAGAACTTGAAGAAAACCCAATGAAAACCAGCATCATGAGAAGACAAAAGGAAATTGCTACTTGGTTTAGCCAGAGATCCCCACCTACAGCACCTGAAGGCTATCCGTGTTTTTCCGAATTGGCAACACAGGATTCAGACAGTATGCTATTCCCTGTGAATTAATTTGCACCATAACTTATACCAATAAAGCAACTGGAAGATAGGTGAGTACCGGGATAGATAAGCTGGTAATATTTCCTCCCCAGTCTTCTTGCTACAAAATATCCTACACAGTGTCCCGCACGCCTCTGCCCTTCCCGCTTCATAGTTGTCTGGGAATTCACTCGCATCAAACATGGGGTTGGAAGCCATTGTCTCTGTGGACATTTGTGATCCTTTCCGGCGAAACTCCACGCTAGCTTGAGTTGCTATGGCTGGGAAAAGAAGAAAAAAAAAAACAACAGCATTTCACTGTGTGCTACCATACCTAACAGGCTCATGGGATCCTGGACACAAAGATCAAGTCAAATTTAGTGGTTATCATGAAGCTGTTAGTTCACTATATTCGATTCAGCACCTCTGTTTAGAAAGTATTTGTGAGTGTAACTAACTTTTTTCTTTATAAGGATGACAATGACTGACCTTCATGTTCTGGAACCCATACCACCTCTCTGCTGGGAAGAGCACCCTTGTATCCAATACTAGCTTCCTGCCCTCGCTGGAGGACAAGGACCTTCCCTCACCTAGTTCTCACCTCCAGACAAATGCACTACCACCTTGCCTTGCCACCTTAAAATACCAAAAACCATCTAAACAGTGCCATTACTGTGACCTCTGAGCAAGTGCTGAATTTTTGGCTGGGCAGCTAATCTCTTATTCTGCTCTGAAGACCAGGCTGCTTTGATCCGATTTTGTTGTATAAACATACTTATTACAAAAAAAAAAAATTCTAAAGACTCATTTCAGAAAGAGAAGTTTGCTGAAACCCACTCTCCTGATTTCATCCCTCTCTCCTCACGTAACTACTGAAATTGCCGAATAAACGTGAGGTGGGACAGCAGCTGCCAGGGAAGCCGGCGCTCTCCTGCTCCCTGTCCCACAGCAGGCTCCACAACAGCCTCCCAGGAGCCCGCTGTTACCTACACGCAATGCGGTTTTGCTGAGCTTTGTGCTCCCTCCCAGCAGGACAGCTCTGCCTGTCCCAGCCAGCTGGATTCATGTCTTTCTAGAGAGATTTCTGGTCCCCCTTTCACAAATCAGTTATCACATGCACATGATGCAGGACTCGCTTTGCCAGCTTCATCCTTTCTTCCAGGATGGCGACCAAAAAATATATATTGCTCTCAATGGGACTTTTTAAAAAAATTTTTTTCCTTGGACAACTTCATCACTGTTGGATTACTAACAGCAGAAATAACACGTTCCTTCTTGGTTTTAGCTAAGACTGCATTGATTTTCAAAAGTCTTATTAGCTATTAAACAACAGATAACACGTGCTCCTCACAGAATCACGCCAATGCAGTTCTACCAGTACCGGAGAACTCCTGGGACACTGGGGATCATCAGGTCCACAATCAATCTTGCAAACAAACGCTCATTAACAAGTATTCCAACTGCCAAGGTGTGAATTTACAGATAGGTGGGGGGGGGGGGTTTGGTTTATTTTTTAAAGGAATCGTTCTAATGACAAGTGTCAACTCAATTTTGTCTTTAAATTCATCATTTAACCTACTGTTACCTTACAAATTTTCATGACATAAGTAGCAAATAAGCACAAATCTTTATGTATCTTCCCATGAGCCATTTTTTGTCCTAAATAAGCTATCCAGCAATATACTGTAGTTGGAAAAAAAACACTACATGCACAAAGCATACAAATCAAACACTAGGTCTGTAAAATAAGCTTCAAGTAAAAAAAAACAAAACCAAAATATGGTTAGTGCAAAGTCCTGAAACTCATGACATGATCACAGACTAAAGTACAGAAAAGATGGGACTGATTCAGGCAGATTAATTTGCTTTTGCCAACAATCCTCCCCATTCAAAAACACACACAAAATTACTTCTTTTTCAAGTAAAAGTGCAAAAGCTACAAGAGACAATGAGAATGAATTTACAAATAAAATATGGGATTATGGAAAAAGAAAAGCACAACTGCAATTAAGGAAAAGCTACTGGTTCCTACTTACAAGATTTATAAGAAAGAAGAATTTGGATAAAAGATGCTGCAAGATAATAGAAATAAAATGGAAACAAATCAAAGGACAGCAGTAGTTATAAAATACTTTTAAGATGGTGAAATCGTAATATAAGTTAAGAAGCTTTTAGCTTTTTTAAAAAATAGATTAAAAGCTTTATGATACAGCAAGCTCATTAAACACATAGGAAATTGGCATTCAGGTCCAAAATTATGGTTTTGAAAATACCATGCAAAACAATGAACAAAAAGTTACAAAATGCTAGTAAGATTTAGAGCTGTTCATATCAACACACATCAGTTCTTTAAATGGATGTATTAACCCTTCCCAGCTCAAGTATCTTTCCCTGTGTTGCACTGTATATGGTGTGTACACTAGGCTATCCTAAGGCTTCTGGGACTTGGGGTATGTCTTGTAGGGGGAAGGATACTTACCTGCAGAGCCTCCTTGCAGCAATACTCCCGCTCCTGAACCATGAGTTCCTGATAGCACTGCAGCTCCGTCTTCCCTAAGCCAAGTTGCTAACAAGGAGCACACCCGGGCATGCCTCCCCTGACCACCTGCTCAATCCACAATCTTCCAAAGTGGAAATAAAAGGCAGAACCCTACCAGAAATACCAACATCTCAAAAACAATCTCCAGAGAAAGAAGAGAAGAAAGACTCCAGGAGCCAGGTACCAGTCGAGCACCACCACCTCTACGAGCTCCTTCTCTGAACGTGCAGGGGCAGTGACCTGTGACCAAGCCCCTCAGCAACACTGAAGATGACCCTACTCAGGGATTCTTTTAGTTCGCTCCTAGACCCCCACAAACGTTCTTTAGGACGTTAATATTAATGACAGTAGGGGCAGGAGAGATGAGGGTAAAACTATACCCCAAGAGTCCCCCACTGCCAACAGCACCTGGGTGATAACCCCAACCCACCTAGCAAGGGTCCTTCAGCTGCTATAAACACACAACTGGCAGGCTTGGGATGGACTTCTTTAGCTACAAGGATTAAGAATGAGCCCACCAGATTGGAAGACCCAGTTGCTGAAATGCCAGCCCAAGGTATTCATGAGTTTCTCCCAATTCTCACAAGCTGCTGAGGACAGCAACTTGCAGCAGCATGTGCTATCTGGCCAAGCTTGTCCAACCAAAACACATCCTGCCGATGAAATAACACTCGGCACATGTACACACACACACCAGAGCTGTCATGTTCAGGGTTAACTTCATAAAGCCTTCATAGTGAATTTCTTATGAAGGCGCTTTCTCAAGTACCAATCATAGGGAGCTATCTATGCCATGCTAGCAGCCAAAGCAATACCATGCAACCATCTAATTCTAATTCCAGCAGGATCACAACCAGCCATGCATTTTCAAACTGATCATTTTTCCTCTCTCACCACAACACAGAGTTACGTGCTCTGCTATAAACCCATAACGCTTCACCATCAAAGTCTCAGTGCAGAAACTAAAACCTGACAGAGGACAATCGAGGCACAAAAGCATTACACCAACAATGGCAAGATCACTGTTCTGCTTCAGAACCCAAACAACAACACAAGACCACCCTGAAGGACGAGGCTCAAAGAGCAAACAGAAAGACTGCTTTCTAGGTGATAAACTCCACCAGTGCTCAGTCATACACAGATGACCTCCAGCTAATCCTGTGGGAAAGAACAATTCCCTCCTCCCAAAGAGAGACAGACAAAACCACAGCAACCACAAACGTGAAATAGCTATGATTATCCTGAATCGTGCAAGAGTTGGTACAAGAAGTTTCTCAATGAAGATGACAGAAAACTGAACAACAATTCAATGGGGTCAGCAATTATACTGACAGAACCAGAGAAGAGTTGAGGCTGGAGGGGACCACTGGAGATTACAGTCAGCCCCCCTGCCAAAGCAGTGTCCAGTATGGCAAGTTTGCTTACCCTCCCACCCATCCAGATATTTTTCATCTCAGAACCTACAAAAAGCTGCGCATTTTTTCCACCAGTCATAGAATCAAAAAAATCACAGAATGGTTTGGGTTGGAAGGGACCTTGAAGATCATCCAGCGCTACCCCCTGCCGTGGGTAGGGACACCTCCCACTAGCCCAGGTTGCCCAAAGCCTCATCCAGCCTGGCCTTGAACCCCTCCAGGGATGGGGCATCCACAGCTTCTCTGGGCAACCTGGGCCACTGCCTCACCCCCTGCACAGTAAAGAATTTCTACCTAATACCTAGTCTAAATCTGCCCTCTTCCAGTTTAAATCCATTACCCCTCGTCCTGTCACAACATGCCCTTGTAAAACATCCCCGTCATCTCTCCTGTAGCCCCCTTTCAGCCCGGGAAGGTGCTGGAAGGTCTCCCCGGAGCCTTCTCCTCTCCAGGCTGAAGGCCCCCAACTCTCTCAGCCTGTCCTCTCATAGGGGAGGTGCTCCAGCCCTTGGACCATCTTCGTCACCTCCTCTGGCCCTGCTCCAACAGCTCGACGTCCTTCTTGCATTGAGGGGCACAGTACTCCAGGTGGGGTCTTATGAGAGCAGAGGGACAGAATCCCCTCCCCCGACCTGTTGGCCACAGTTTTCTTGATGCAGCCCAGGACGTGGTTGGCTTTCTGGGCCACATAGTCAGCTCATGTTCAGTTTTTCATCTACTGTCATTTTCATTCGTCTACAGTCATTTTTCTTGACTTCCTCTCCAGAGGTTAAAGAGTTCAAGAAGTAAGATATGTGAGGCTCCAGGACAGGGAGATGAGCGAGGGCAGATAGGTACTCATCCACATCAGCCTTCACCAACTGCTCTTTACTTCCTACAGCTCCTCAAAAAGACTTGTGTTCTCAGACGGGAGAAGGATGATGTGCTATTCCATGAGAATCGGCAGGGTTTGTTTAAAAGAACTGAACCAAATTCTGAACTAGAACTTGAGACCACAGCTCCTTCACAGGCTCACTTGTTAGGCACTCACATTTAGCTCACGAATAGCTCTTTAGAAATCATGTCCTATCAGTTCTCATTGAGAATGTGTCATGTGACAGAAGAGGAATAAGAAACATGCACTAGGAAGTGCAGTGTTGCAGAAAGGTGTCCCAGTGCAGGGGATCTCTCTGCAGGGACAAGAAGCAGTCTGTTTCACCATACTTCACTCCTTTCCTTTTCAAAGCGGTCCTCAGTCCTCCAGCCACCAACAAAACAGAAATCCTATCAGAGAGCTATGAGAGAAGAAATTCTGAACTGCATGGCATTGAAACAAACTGAACATTAGAAGGGTTTAAAGCTGTCGAGATCTTACACAGCTGCAGTCCCAGATCCAAAGGAACAATAGCATGTGTGGGGCAGTGAAATGTCTATTGTCATACTACGCAGCAAAGCTGACTTTAAATGCAGACACTTCCCAATCATAAAATATTTAAAACATCCATAAAAATAACAGTGTTTTCTGAAGCTAATGCAAAGATTATCCACAGCAGTGCCAAACGCAGTAAGAATATCCATGCTAGTGGCAAAAGCATTACTGTGCCAGGCGACAGAGGACAGCAGATGGACCATGACACACAGCTACAGCCAACACACAGCCAAAAAGCAGATTTATTTTTCTTCTCTTTCCTAAGGTAGAGATTGTGGCAGCTAACTGTCCCTCCTCTGCTGCCCTCTTTCTTCAAGCCCCATCTATACTGGGTAGCACGAGCAGAGGCAGGTGGAGGGGCACGATATGCAGATCTGATTGTTATTGATGGGCCCCACTTGTGTGGACAGAGGGGGACTGCAGGGGCCCACCTCATCCATCCAGCACAGCACCTCCCACCTTACACTGTTCAAGGAGGAAAAGACTTCACCTGGAGGCATCAGGCTTGTCAGATTAGACTCCCAGAAGAGAAGCTTTTCAATTTGAACTTAAACTTGATTTAAAAGACACTGATGCTTCAAGTCAACAGAAACTGCAGAGGCTGAGCCCTTTACAAGTCTTGCTACGTTTTCCCATCTAAAGCAGAGGCTGAGCAAAAGGACTTATCCAAAGGATAAATCAGGCTTCAGTGCCACTCTGGAGTTTCAGCAGTACAGGTCCATCTTCAGCTCACTCTCCTGACAGCCTGCCATGGCATTGCTGTGACTGGTACTGCACACAGCTGTAACAAAGCTCATGGCATCCTGGAAGGGCAGCAAACACTTGACTAGATTCTGTAAGCTAATTATGTCTTCCAAATGGCTAGAAAAGCAGAACATAGACAGTTTTTTGGGTCTCCACCAACATAATTCTCTTGGATTCACTGCTTCCAACAAACAGCAGAACATGGACATGCAAAGACCGGTCCCACTACAGACAGCTCAGACAGCACAGAGGAAGAACAGAATCAAGTGATTTCCAGCAGTTGTTCCTAGTTTTCAGGAAGCTACTAAGTCCTTCTGTCAGGCTAGCAACATGACAATTTTCTGACTGCTGCTAGGTAACTTAAGACATTGCATATATGAACAGAAAGCCCTGGAACCCCTTCAAGGAAGTCAATCATTTTGATTTTGCATGACTGCGTACTTCTGCTAGAATCACACCACCTCTGTTTGCAGCTGACACTGTTGCATAAGCAGCACCTCAGCTGACACGCTTTCCAGGTTAAGCACTTCATTAAAATTGCTCAAGATACAGGTTATGACAAAACTAAAGTTATCCAATCAATCTGAAAAACATCAAATACAGAAATACATTAGCTGCATATGCAACTGCACACACCCTCAAATTATGCCTCACTCCTTCCTGAGCTCAGCTGTGTCTCTAGTAATGTGTCACGGGCCTGCAGAGGGACTCGAACCTCCTACCACAGAAATCCACAACAAAAATCCACTTTCAAAAACCCATGTAGTGCATACCTAAAATACCTTTAACAGATCCCAAATCCTAAACCCATCGCCTCCACACAGGGATTTGTGACACAACAAGCAAGGAAGATCAGTTTAACTGCTGCTGTCAAGTCCCACTATAAACCCACCTTGCTACAACAAACCTCTTCCTCCTGTTTTTCTTAGGCCAGTGAGCTCCTGAGATAGATGCCTTGGAAGAGTTTCCAAGACATTCAAAATACTACATGAAGAACAGGAAAAATGCGAGGAGTGAAAAAGTTTATTCTTGTCTGGGTATTACCACCAAAAGGAAGAAGAGTGCCACAAAGCCTCTCTGAGCACTAATTCTGCTATCGTGTCTCAAAACATATGACCTCTAAAGCTCAGCAAGGAAACCAGCAGTTAAGGACTGAAGACAACTGAGGTATCAAGCCATATATGGAAGGAAACACATAGCAACTGTCACTGAAAGGCAGCAACTTCACTCGCTATTTTAAGGACTTCTGTTTTCATAACACCCTCCAAAAACAAGAAGTACAACTTTGTGCAGTATCTGGAGTGATGTTTGACAATTTTTCAAACATCAACGTCACTATAAAAAGTTGCTATTACTCAAGCAGATTTCAAATTAGGAAATGGACTCTTTTAACACATTATTTCCTTCACTTAATAAAATCCTCCCCACTAGCATAATTGGGACTGCCATGCTTGTTGGAGCAAGGGAGTGTTTAATAGTAAAAAGTTGTTTTGTTTTTTTAATTTTAAAGTCCCCAAACACCCCGTCAGCTAATAACAGGTGCTGGCTCAGCTGGGAGGGGTTAACCACAATACAGCACTTCTGATTTTTTTTTTTTATTATGCATATGTTAATCTTGCAGGTAGGAAATGTCAATAAAACAAGGGAAAAAGTGCACGTATACTTTTCAGTAATATTTACCAGTCATGCTGCTGTCTCTGTTTATTCCATTATGAAGTTTACAGTGAACAAATGCTGCATCAAATAACCATGATCCAAAAAGGTTCAAGATGCTGTTAACCTTTGGCCTGCGAGGAGCTGGTAGTGGCCGTGGCTCAGAACTTGTCTGGTTTGGGCTAGAGAGTGGAGAACTAGAGGAGGGTTGGTGCTGCACTTTTGAAGTATGTGCAGTAGTTACCTATTTGAACAGAAGAACACATCAGCTCCTAGAAGCATGGAAATTACTTCCTCTAACTGAGGAAACCATCAACAGGATCAGCTACTTAAATACAGAATATGAAATCTTACAGTGCTGGTTTTCATCGTTGCTTTATTCACAGTCACTGCCCGATGCCTCCGGTTGTGGGGTGGAGTGGTGTTGATAGCGGTGCTCTGGGGCATGCTCAGCCTGTTGACTGGCGTGGGTGGTGCACTATCTGATCGGGGTCGTGAAATGCCTGGAGATAAGAAATAAAGCAAGCTTTCAGCAAGAATTCCATAGGCTCTTACACAGCAGTTAGCAAGCATCCGGGCCTTCTGTAAATAGAAAAGATTTCCCCCCCCACCCCCAAGAACTGCAGCAGTGAGAAAAACATCTTTCCCCTTTTACTATTAGCACAAATACATGCACAAACAAGAGAAAACCCTGCTTACACGAGACAAGCAAATCATTAAAAGACACCAAAGAACCCCACACCTTCAGAACATGGGAAATAGCACATGGAAGGACCAAGTCTAGAAGAAGGCAGAAGGAAAGGGGCAAGGTTCGCTTGCTGAAGGCAATTTTACAGGTCACTCCTGCCAAAATTCAAATGCTTCTCACCTTTGCCTTTCTTTCCCAACCATAACTCCCACACCTTTTTCTGAAAGATCTCTAATGACATCTGACCCTTCAAAGTCAACTTAGCTCATTAAATTAAGATTAAACCCATCCACCATGCAGTTTTCTGCTGGTTTTAGGAGCTGAATCAGCTTCCTGAACAAATACCAAGTCAGTACAAGAGTCAGGGTAAGAAAGCAGAGCAAGCTCTTAATTTCTCTCGTAGCAGCGGGACATCAGAGCAGTCTCTACCCAGCTTCAGGGCAATACCTGTGGTGTATAACGCTACTCTTCCCAGTCGGAATCAGCAGCAACTAACCCTCTGCAAAACTTGAAGTGACAAACACCACTTCTTCCCATTTTAATGAATACCACCATTCTCACACCCCATTTGAAAAATTAAGTGTGGAATTGCAGTGTGCTTGAAGACCTGACACAGATGTTTTTTCACCATGTTAATTAAAGCACCCCAGTACTTTCTGTAACACATTACAGAACAACTAACTCCTGCTAACCCATTAGCGTTACACCCCATGCAGAGGGCAGAGTATGCACTACAAAATGCACTGTTTTGGGACACTTTTTTGGAAAAGAGGGTGCAGTATTTTGCCAAATGCACACATCACGTAGATGCATATCAGGGAGGGCGAGATAAAAATGACGTGCTTTGGCACTTGGGGTAGAAGGCATCGAGACCTCCCGTTAGCCTTAGCTGAAGGGGTCCATACTGCAGCACTCAAATCTGCCTGAGCACACTCTCACATCCACACCTACAGCTGGAATTTAACTTCACCAAGAGCCCTCCTGTGCCCAAGTGCGTCAGAGTCTGCAGTCTCTGAACTCCAGGTGAGCTACCATCACCCAGGGCGTTTCATCTTGCTACATGAGATCTTCAAAGTCTCCAGTCTCCAACTCAACATCCTATCAAAAACTCATGTAGAAAGCAAACCTCCCTGCTCACTTACAGGAGAGAAGTGCTTACAGCCCAAAGAAGTGCTCCACAGCTGGCCAGCATGGACAACCTCAAGCCCAGACACCATCACAGCCCCACCTCTGCACCAGCCAGGGAGATGCGTATGTGATCGCTGCCGCCCAGTGGGAACGGGGTTTCAGGCAGCCAGATGCAGAACACACAGAGGACTACCACACCCCTCGCAGGTTAAAAGCCTCAGATAAGAACCTCAGACTACTTTTAAGGTCCAAGAGGAATCCACTACAACAGCTACCCCAGCAGAGGTCCATGCACTGTGCAAAGCTAATGCTGCTCAGCTTCCTCCTCTGCCTCCACCGCAAGATGCCCCCCTCAGGAGTCTTCCAATATAAACTACTTCCTTCACTGAAAATGAATTACTAACCACACTTCCACAAAAAGCTTGGATATAGTATGTCTTTCCTCAATCCAGGCTATATTTAACAGCTCTTTTTAAAAAAAATAAATTCAGCTTACACAGCCAGTAAAAGACACTTCAGAGGAACACCTTCTACCAGTGGTCAGATGGACTTCTTTTTTAAATTATTGTTTCAGTACAAACTGCCAAATCCCATTGTAATAACTAGGAAGATAGAGTTTGACAGAGTAACACAAGGAGGTTGTTTCCATACAGTTAGGACATATATTGCCTGTATACAACTGTCCTTTAACAAATTACGATATTGCTTGACAGACTACTGAATATTTTAAACCTCACATCTGGTATTAATAAAAGCAATCATTAAAATTCCTTAAACTTGGTGGCAAGACATCTAGAAGAATGCAGTGGACACAAAAGATTTCAAGATTCAATATTACAGCTTAAGAAAAATGACTATTTGCTCTTTTTCAGCACTTAACTTTTAAACAAAGCCATTTATACAAAAGTGAAATCTGTAGTGACAAAAAGTTGCTTGCAGGGGGAAATACAGTACCAATAAATCTTTTCCTTGCAATATTTTCACAGAAACACAGAATGTATTTCTAGTAAAAAGGATCTTACAATTCAGTGAGACATGAGGACCTTAAGGTGCTTTGCTTAAAAGGACTAAACCATTCGGGTTTTTGCAAAAGACAAATATGTAAAAGCTGACAGTCTAATTCCACAGCCTATTTTTTTTCTGAACACAGTTTACCTATCTCAAGTCTTCTGCAGTCTCACATCAGCTCACACTTGTGGCAGATGACAAAATTCGTTTGCATACATTTAAGCAAAAAAGCAGAACGAGACAGGTAGCTCTTCAGAGCTTACAACAGCACATTTTCGCTGAAGAATTTTTAACAAGCTTGAAGCACACTAAGAATAAAACTTCAAATTTCAGGTGCTATATAGTGTTACTTAAAACTTACCAGCCAGTGCTTACATCTACTTTACCTTTCAGTCAAACTTGAGCTACAGTTACCAGCAGACACAAAGAAACACAGCTTTTCTTCTCAGCAGTACCATGGAATTACAGAATCATATCATCACAGAATGGTTTGGGTTGGAAGGGCCTTAAAGCCCCCCCAGTGCCACCCCCTGCCATGGGCAGGGACACCTCCCACTAGCCCAGGTTGCCCAAAGCCTCATCCAGCCTGGCCTTGAACCCCTCCAGGGATGGGGCATCCACAGCTTCTCTGGGCAACCTGGGCCAGTGTCTCACTATCCTCACAGTAAAGAATTTCTTCCTAATATCTCATCTAAATCTCCACTCTTTCAGCTTACAACCATTCCCCCACGTCCTATCACTCCACCCCCCAATCAAGAGCCTACCTAATACCTAGTTTAAATCTCCCCTCTTCCAGTTAAATCCATTACCCCTCGCCCTGTCATGACATGCCCTTGTAAAATGTCCCTCCCCATCTCTCCTGTAGCCCCCTTTCAGCACTGGAAGGTCTCCCCGGAGCCTTCTCTTCTCCAGGCTGCACACCCCCAACTCTCTAA